GGCTTCTTGAAGAGAAAGTATTCGAGGCTTTTGTTGGATACGTATTCATAGATGACTAATTTTTTCGTCCGAATCGATCCAAAACCCTAAAATCCTCACAAGAATTCGATGTTGAAGTTTTTCCATTAAAATGGCTTTATTTATGAACTCTTGTGAACCTTGTCCAGATGATTTTGATAGTCTCTTTACTGCCACATCCATCCCATTGTCTAGAACGCCCTGCAATTATAATGTGATATTGTTTTCTTTTTTTTTAGAAAACAGAAATAACCAAGCCAGAAGTTGGTTGGGCACAAAACTACGTACAAAGGAGTTAGAGCTCTACACAAAGGAGCTAATTAACCAAGAATTCCACTCAATTTTATATTTACTACACCTACTACTAATCTAATTAAAAGCTACCGCATCCTTACGTGATCAAACACAACATCACAAATTCCCTTTTTGCCCTTAAAGAAAGCCTTGTATCTAACTTTCCAAATATCAGATGAAAAGGAAATGGAAACCTTACCTGCAAAAGTTGGAGGATGCGGACGCGTGAATGAAGAAGTTATCGGAGGTAGAGGGGAAGTCGGCGACGGAGGCGGTGCAAATTAGAGGGTGGCGACGACGCTGAAGGGAGGGATGCAGAAGTCCCGGCAAGAGGAAAGTTGCACCTAATTCCAAAATTAACAAAATTCCAAACGTAAATCAACCCAAAATGAGGAAAAATGAAGAGTTAAATGACGCTTCTCGATCAATTGAACCCTAATAGTTATAGAATCCGAAGATCCAGAGTTAAATGTGTGATGAAGGATTGAAGGGGAATTGTGAATTCATACCAACAACCTTAAATGCGGAAATCCAAATCGATGGACCCACCTCCCATCGGTCGGACGAGAACTCGCCGATAGAGCGAGTAGCTCTCATGGTTCTGGTGATAGATGACCTAATTGTATCGGTGGATCCTAGATAGTCACCTCGTGCGCCGATCAAACAAGAAATTGGGAGGGAAAAGCTATAAAATCTCGTTCAGCGGCCAAAATCAACTCATTCAAAGACCAATCGGGAACTAAAGAAATAGACGGAACGCCTTTTAGGAAAATACACTTCAGACTCGACAACGCATGGCTGGCGGCGTAGATCGTAGTGAAGAAGAAGAATTTGAGGGATTCTTAAGCGGAGAAACAGATATGAGAGAATGGAGCCCTAGACTGAATATTTGGGAAGAGACTGAAAAAAACAATTAATAGAAGATAAAGATAAAATGAATTAATATTTGGGAGGGAGTTTCAATTTGGGGTACGTAAAAGTGAAATTCAAAATAAAATATTTTTCTTTGCGAAATTGAAATTTTCATTTGAATAATGTTGTTTAATATATATATATATGTGTGTGTGTGTGTGTGTGTGTGCGTGTGTGTGACAATTTTTTGAGACCAATGAAATATTATGATACACAAGGATGTTTTTTGTGATTATACATTTCGGATGCCAAAAAAAATATGGACAAGAATGGAAAAATTAAATAAATTTGAGCCTTAAGCCATAAAACCTATGTCATAAACCTTTAGACATAACTCTAAATCCCTAAGTCATACATAATAAGCTATGAGTTTGTGGAAATATGTAACATCCCGAACTTCGCCGGTATATTTCGAATCCCTTCTCTTTTATTAATTGCCATTTTAGTCCTTGGAGTTTGGTTGAGTTGGGCCATGAGAGGTATGAGTATTAAAGTTGCAACTTTGGGTCAGGAAGGAGTACACTGAGTGTACATAAAGGTACGCTGAGCGTACTAGGTGCACCCTAGTATGCTGGGCGTACACTCATGTACGTTGGGCGTACTCATGTCAGGAGAAAACCCTAATGTTTAGGGTTTGGGGACTATATAAACACCCTTATAGATCATTTCCTCTGATTATCCTCAGCCTCCACAGCCTCCATTCGTCCTCCCCAAACCCTAGCTCTTCTTTGTGGGTGTAAGCTTATTTGGTGTGTTTTGAGTGTTTCAAGAGGAAGGTGTTGCATCCAAGTGTTGGAGAAGAAGATCAAGTTCATAGATCTGAAGTTAGTTTGTGTTCAAGAAGCTCCAAAAGGTATCAAGTTCCAAACTTTATGCATATAGGCTTAGATTTCATCATTTTACTTTATTAGAAGCATCTCTTGTCCCAAAAGCCATAAAGTAGTGTATTTTGTGTTGTGGACGTAAAGAGTTGTCCTTCCAGACTCTTGAAGGAACTTTGAGTGAGAAAAATAAGGTCCCATTAGTTGTAGGTGTCCCATGCAAGAGAAATAAGGTCTTAATGGAATAACACATAGCATTTAGAACTTTATGGACGTCCAAAGTGATAAAGTTCGTGACCTTATGGACCCTGGGCATGTTAGGCCTCTGGATATGAGATTAGGGCTTAAGTGCTTAAGCCATTAAGCACTTAATGAGGTTTTGTCAAGTTCTGGAGTACGCCCAGCGTAAATCCAGTACGCCCAGCGTACTGGGTCAACCACCCTGATGGTGGTCAACATCTGGTCAAGTATGCCCTGCGTACCAGAGGAGTACGCCGTGCGTACGTCCTCTGTTGGGCCATTGACAATTGGGCTTCGAGTTTTGGGCTGTTTATGGACTAAAGGGATTTGGCCCTTTGCTGGACTTCGTAAATAAGATGTTATGGGTCAGTTAGTGGTAGTGGATCATGGGATTAGGCCCAATAAGGAGATTGGGCCCAATTTAGTAAATTGGGCCAATAGTGGACTTATGCATATGGACTTTCAAGTTAGGGACTTGGTGGTGGACTTTGGCCCAATAAAAGGAATGAGTTTAATGAGTTTTGAGGACACTAGATCAAGGGGGTAATACTGGGTATTAACCTAGTATTTATTATTATGTGACAGTTCAGGATTTCTGGTGAGATCGTAGTCATAGACTTACATTAATTCATCACTAATTGCGAGGTGAGTTACCTCACTTTACTAAGGGGTATAAGGCACCAAGGCCGGCCCATTGGATATGTTATCCTAGCAGTATTAGTACGTTGAGTATGATATTAGTGTTTCATGTTAGTAGTTATGCCAGTTAGATAGATCTGTAGGACTACCTGTTTTGCCATATGATTATCTGCATGCTCAGTGGTTATGTTATATGCTGATATATTATGTGGGATGGGTTGAGGTGATACTGCTCCATGCGGTAACCAACAAACCCGGGAGCATTTCAGATATGAGCTGAGGGAGACTCGTACTGTGGGCTCGACGGCAAGCCAGATGTGAGCTGTCGGCCCGAAAGGCAATCCAGATTTACATTGTGGGCCCATGGGTAATCCACTCTATAAAGTTGTGACCCATTGCATGGTGTTTAGTTTGTTATGTCATGATATTGTTGACACGGTTATGAGGATTGTATGTGTATCGGTATTTTGGGGGAACTCACTAAGTCTCGGACTTACAGTTTCAGTTTATTGTTTCAGGTACATAAGGGGATCGTGGCAAGGCGAAGGCATGATCATACAGCTCCTCATGTTTTGTTTATGTTTCTGGGAGAACTCTGATATTTACATTTTGAAAACAAAGTTGTAATGATTCAAATGGTTTGAAATGTTTCTTTTTAAAATTCAAATTTGGCTTGAAATTTTGTGTGTTACAAAATAAGTGTACAAGTATATATGTTTAGGGGTATGGGTGTAGATATAAAGGTGATGGTACATGTGTAGTCATGAGCTAGAAGTCCTTATCCGTTAGTCCTACATATAAAACCCTGAGTCATAAGACATAATCCCTAAACCAAAAGCCATATGCCTTAAACCATAAGCCTTTAATCATAAGTCATAAGTCATATAAGCCATAAACTATAAGCAATATGCCCTAAGTCTTGACCTATAAACACTACGCCCTAAGCCATAAACCATAGGCCTTGAACCTAAAGCACCAATCTATAATTCATAAACCATAAACCATAAGGCATGAGCCCTAAGACCTAAACCTTGAGCCTTAAGCCATGAGCCATGAGCTATATGTCCTAAGCCATAAGCCATAGTGTATAAGCTACATAAGTTATAATCTATAAGCCATAATCCATAATCAATAACCCATACAACACACTACCTTAAGCCCTAAGCATAATCTATAATACATATACATAAGTTATAATCCATAAGCCATAATCCATAATCAATAACCCATACAACACACTACCTTAAGCCCTAAGCATAATCTATAATACATAAGACACAAGACATAAGCCTTTACCCTTAAGTTATAAGCCATAAGCCTTAACCCCCCCCCCCAGCCCACGCCTTACACCATAAGTCCTAAACCATAAGCATTAAGCTGTAAGTTATAAGCCATAATTTCTTAACCTTAAGCCAGATTCCCAAAGTTCTAAACCCTAAGGCATACACCCTACTCCCTAAGTCATAACCCTTAAGCCTTAAACCCTAAGTTATAAGCCATATGCCTTAAACCTTAATCCATAAGCCTTAAGTCATACACCAGAAGCCATAAGCCATAAGTCATAAACCATAAGCCATAACCCCTAAAATATAAGTGTTAAGCCTTAACCTATATGCCTTAAGCTATAAACCATAAGTCATAAGCCACAATTTACAAATCATAACCCTCAAGCCTAAGCCATAAGTCAAAAGCACTAAGTCTGAAGTCTTAAGTCATACATTATCATCCCTAAGTTACAAGTTGTAGGACACGAACCCTAACCCTAATTTCTAAGCAATATGTCATAAGTCTTAATCCGTGAGCTATACGCCATAAGCCATAAGACTTAGCCCTATGCTATAATCCACAAGTCATAAGTCGTAAGTCATATACTTTGACATACATACACATACACATACCCCCCACCCCACCAACACACGCGCACATACACACATAAAATTAAATATTAGTTTTTGAAATATAAATTATTATGTCACAATATTTATTTTATTTTGAGTATAATACATAGATATATAATTTAAAAATATTTTTATGTTTAGTTATAAATTAAATATTAAGCCAAGAGAAATCCAGTGGATGTCATCTTCGATTCACCTAGTGTTCACCTTCTCGAGTCATCGCCATCTTGCCACTCTCGTGATCTTTTTGGTTCAGATAGGTAAGACTTACGAGTCGGAGATTCCCTTCGTACAATTCTCAAACCTCGTCGTCGCCATCGTAAATCTCAGGCCTCGTCATTTCCATCGTACATCTCAGGCCTCATCATTTCCGTTGTATTCCCCTCTTCCCGTCTTCTTTTTCCTTGACCCAGGTAAGCATTAACAAACCTCTCTTGTCTTGATTTTGTTCTTAAGTAGATCAAGACACAGACAAAACCATATTAAATAAGCATGTTAGGGATGTATATATCGGGGAAATCATGAATAATGACTATATTTATAGAAAACTTTCCATCTTTTTAATCAATATATGCATTGAAGTATACTAATATGCATATATTAAACTAACAGTGCTGATTCCATAGAGCGAGCATGGTAGATTCTTGATCAAATTCCTGGTAGAGCTACTGGTGCATATAGTCACAGGGGTAAAACATAAATGCAGTTTAAGGGTTTAAGGAAATGCACTATATCTTTTTTGATAACGTTTTGGATACAACAGGGTGGGGACTTGAGGTCTCTGAGCTCAAGAAGCAACTAGAAATTGCTAGACAAAAGGGTATTACTGTTAGAGCCCTTGTTGTCATTAATCCAGGAAACCCAACTGGCCAGGTAAATCTATGTTAGTTTTAAACACTAATAAATGTGTTTTCTCAATGTTATGATAATTAAATTCCAAAATTTTATTGGCATTTTAGTAAAAGCGTGATTAAGTAGGGTGACATTCATCATTCATGTACATTATGCAGGTTTATCAGGAAAACATTTATGTCCCTGAAAAGCACTTTCACTGTTTTTAGAAAGTTACTCGTTCAATGGGATATGGTGACAAGGATATTCCCTTGGTTTCTTTTCAGTCACTGTCCACAAGGTGGCATCAGTGAATCTTTGTTCGAACATTTATGTTCAAATTCTTGCAAGCCTTGTTATGAGTCCTCCAAAGGTTGGAGATGAATCCTATAATTCTTATTTCGCTGAAAGAAATGATCTGCAAGGTGAGCAAAGGTCAGTTAGTTAATTCAGTTGTTAATTTGGTTTGCAATTATTAATTTCTTGATAATTCTTAATTTCTTTTTCCTTGACATATTGAAACTACAGACATTGGAAGATGCACTGAACAGCTTAGAGGGTGTTACCTGTAACAAATTAGAAGGTGCAATGTATCTTTTCCCACAAGTTAAGCTGCCAAATATGGCCATAAGAGAGGCAGAGAAAGCTAAAAAAGCTCCGGATGCATATTATGCAATTCGCCTTAAGGGTTTTGTAATTGGCATCAGGGTATTAAGGGATTGTGCTACACCATTGTTGTTGTTTTGTGTTGTTTTGCTGTTTTGAGACTATTTATGTTTTGTTGTTTTGTAGTTTGTTGCTGACTTGTTAAATTCCACTTGTTGTTGTTTTAAGATCAATTTTCTCGGTATGATCTGCTGGTAAAACAGAAAAAAAAACAGTCTTTTGCTCATTTGCAACTTTGTATTTCTAGTTTTTTCTCATTTAACATTTTTTGTATTAAATTAATGATTTGCCCTTGTGCCTATGCAGGTCTTCACAGCCCTAGGAACCTCCTTCCATACCCTTCAATCTCTCAAAGTTCAACATCATTTTTATATAGAAGGGTAAAATGGTCATTTACTCTTATTCATAAAGTTTATTTGGTCAAAGAAAGAAATAGTCTCTAGTCTTTGTTCATTTAACACCTAATTAATGGAGAAAAATTCATTTCACTGACTTTCTCTGTTAAGTTGTTATTTCAGAATGTGAGTAAATGACTATTTTACCCTCGAGTGTTTTGAGAATTTGTAGTTGTGTATTGTGTCAGGATGAGCATAATTCATGCCCGGTTTGTCGACATGAATTATGGAAAGACGATCATGAGTATGAAAGTAGGAAGGAGAGAGAAAATGAGGCTGAAGAAGAGAGGAAAGGAGCTGCAAATGCAGTGGGAGGAGGTGAATATATGTATGTATCGGTCAAAAAAGAAAAAAGAAAAAACAACTATTATTTAGGCCATAAAGGTGATCCCTTCATATTGGCCTCTCAAGCACAACAAGTATTTTACGTGACAGACCCGCTCGATCAAAGTATTTTACTGTAATTGTGGATGACATGTTATAACATAAACTGCATATTATAGCAATGTACTTTCGTCAAGCAATGTTGGACAAACTTGTATTATTTTCATTTATTTATCATACTTTTATATTAAAGAAAGTTGTATTCTTTTCATTTTTAATGGTGTATGATCTGGTGCAATTAAAAGAATACATGACAAAAAAGGGCAATTTGACCTTTCTTATGACTGTTACCGAAACTCCACCATTCAATACAACTATATTGTTATTTGTTTTTGTTTTTATATTCATTTTTTTTTTGGTTTTTTCACAAATTGTTTCTGTTAAGGTAACTTTACAAAATTACCATTCAATTTCTTTCATTTATTTATACATCCCTTTAAATGCAAATAAAGCAATGTACTTTAGTAAAAATGACATGATTGACCTTTTTGTTCATTTTTAATTCTGCCAAATGATATCAAAGAAAAAAATGGACAATTTTACTAGTCGTCCAAAATGTCTAAAATTATCATTTTTTGGAATAATAACTTAACCAGGAAAAAATTTCAGTTTTACAGCAACAAATTTTCAATTTATGAAGACTATTATTTAAACTTACAAATATAATAGTAGAACCAGAATGAAAATTACATAATTATAGTAACATATTTAATGAATGACCCCTACTGATAAGACATTATTGTTCTTTTATAACTATATTTACATATAGACACATATAATAGCTATAATCATAACTAAATGCTACCTACACTTACAATATTTGTTTCTTCTCAAAGCCAATTCATCATATTTTGACACACATAATAAAAGGTACATGACCATAAACAACCAATACTAACTTGTTTTTTTTCTTGCGTTAACTAAGTACAACTAATACATAACCGCCCTATGGACATATAAATATTTAGTGTGACCATATGTATCACCTTTTAGCTACTTTGTATGTATGTATCTAAAAAGCCACCATGTTATAGACACACATACAACTGCCTCATGTCACAATATGTTTATCTATTGTCTCTTATAAAAAAAGTATGACAATCTTAATCGATACCTGTGGCTAATTGTGACCTATGGCCTCAATGTTCGAGTGTGACTAATATTTGTCACATTTGGTATAACTAAGTGTGGTTAAAGTTTTGATTACCTATACAATGGCCACACAAACTAATTTAAATGTATCCAAAAACAGTTTGTAAATTGTTTTAATGGCCTTTGGCCACACTTTTAATAAAAAGTGTGACAGGCCGTTTTTTGGAAAGTGTGACCGTAGGTCATTTTTGTACTAGTGTTTGTTTCCCGATTTCTGATTTGTTTGACATAGAACTTAAGTGAACAGATCAACTTAGTTCTGACCGGGCCCGATATATAGGTCAAAACAAAATCATCGAGGGGCCTAGATATCGCTTCTAATCCAAGAGGAAACAAATAAACTTCGACTCATATGCTTGTTCTACTACTTGTTGAATCATACACAAAGGCACGTTTTATAACATCGAGTTACCAATGCTTTTCGTACGATCAATATATAACCAACTCATAGGCAACAAGTCATATCTCTAGGTTTGAAGACTTATATGATATTACCGTCTCACGATCATTCGAGATACAATTCCATGAAGTGATACCAGTGAGCGTGGGTTGAATCCAATACTCAGAACTTATGAGGACTCATGAGTGTTTTAGCACCACTTTGTCCAACATCTTAGACCTCTACAATCCAACCCATGACAGTCTTGATTCATATCTACTTCCAACATATGACCGACTGTGGATGGTTTGAATAACTTAGTCATTCAGGAAGAGCGACTTAGTTATTCTGGATCATTCAGGAAGAGCGACTTAGTTATTCTGGAATTCAAAACATGCAAAGTGAAACTCAAGAATAATCGAATCAACTAGGGTCTCAGAACTTATGAATATAAATAAAAACACCTCTTATTTGTCACCATATTGATTGCACATTATTCATTGTATACTGTTTCAAACTATCAACTTTATACTTGAATTAAAAACAATAGTTGTCCCATGCTCCGAGCATGTACACTATGTTTTCTAAACACTAGTCATGCCATACACCAAGTATGCACACTATGTTTGTCTCAACATTAGTTATGCAATACATCCAGTATGCACACTAAGTTTGTCTATGCTCTTTACTCTGTGAAATAGATCGATTGAACATACTTTCAATGATTCTCATTTCACAATCCCAAATCCATACTGCAAATGCACGAATCCCAGATTCCTGGCATTTGCTTAAATCTGTTAGATTCTAAACTTATATGCAGTGGTCCTCTTGTAATGATTATGCACAAAGTCACAAAGACTTGTTAACAGACACTACAGAGTATTCCAATGGAGATCAATTCCATGGAAACGAAGTCTCATATTCAGTGCTTTGAACATTCTTCTTGCAATAAGTTTCCTAATCTTACACAGATTTAATGAATAGCTTCCACCTATGGGAATATTTCCATATTCCCTTTTTAACTATTACTCTTAAACAAGAGTTACCTCCTTTCAGAATATGTCAATATGGTCCTTCCAAAAATAACACTATTCTTCCAACTGTCCTTGAGCAACCAATCTTTGGTAAACCTTAGATTGTCCTCGACAATTGCTTAAGCAAATTAGTCATATCCAGTTCTATTACTTTCCCCTCTGAATGTTGTAGGCATTTTGGAAAAATTTAGAACAAATGAATATTATAGCACATGCAATTGATCCTATATCCGAAGCATATGGGACACGATTCATAAAGACATGATACTAGACCAATATTTGCTATATATTTCTATTTCTATTTGCCAAGTTCTCATAATTCAGATTAGGAAGAGGGATGCCGTAATCATAATCAAATTTTAGAACGCAAATACTAGACCCATATATGGAATTTCCTTATGTTGAGCCCATTCCAACATGAAATTCATATATAATATAGATATATATATATATATATATAATATATATATATAATATATATATATATATATATATATATATATATATATATATATATATATTATATATATCCTTCACTAAATATGATTAAAACCTCAATCTAAGCTTTTAGAATTGAAGTGAAGTATAATTTTCTCTCCCTCAATTATAGCAAAACAACTTTTCCCAATTGAAGCCCTTTTGTTTTCTATACTTAACATTGCTAACTTGCAACACCTATCATAATTATCATGCTCCCACTAACATGATGATTATTAGCATAACACTTATGCTCCCACTAGCTTTGACATGTACTCAGATATCAGCTGGACTTCTAGAAAAACAATACTTTATTGACTTTCTTACCAAAGTTCAGATTTCTGATACTAGATTGCTTTGATAAGACTTTATCAATATCATACACCTTATCTAAGATAGCTCACAGGTGTGTCTAAACAATTTAAGAACTATGAAGAGGGATGTCATAGTCATAGTATCAATTGTTTAGATCTTTTCATTTGTCATAAGTCCACGTTAGTGTGCCGGTTAACCACGCATGCTCCACTAACGACTTTGAGACTGCACATATCACAATTGCTATCTTACTTAAAATCTACTTGGTGGAAGTGTTTCCTCGCCATCATTTTTCATGAATCGGAGAGAAACCTTATGACCCTTAGATTTTATGGTGTATGTGTTCTTATCCACGTGAATTTGTCAAAACCATAATCATAAGATAAGGTTAAAGACAAATTCAAACTCATATGGACTGAACTTATGCAATCTTAACTTCTTGCCACCTGGCAGTACAGGGCCTGCCATTGCTTCCAAGTAGTTATGCAACCAATTGAGAAGTCTCATAACTCCTATGCAAAGTCAACTTTAACTGGAATGGGCACAAAAGTAAGAGTATGTCAACACGATAGGTTATAAACCTCAAGTCGTGTGCTAGTGATAAACTATTTGGTTTCTTCTTCTTGATTAGATCTAAAGGCTTTTCCAAGATCTTTAAGACTCTCACTAACCTCTTGACATATAAGACTCACTTGCCAAATATTCAAGAGACAGTGCAGATTATTTATCAAGAGAAACACTTCGCACAATTGGCCTTAGTTGGTCTTTGTTTTATCCAAAACATCACAACTTACCAATTTCAAATGTACAAGAGTAGGACACTTTTACTCTTACATTTGACAAGTGTTATAAACCTTTCTTTAAGATATGTCACTCAACTTACAGTCTTGGAGTATGACTCTAAGACTTGTTTTGGAATGAAGTATGGCTCATCTTCTTGATTTAATCATTTCAGTAATTCTTGATTCCTCTTCTTAGCCATAGGAATGCATTAAGATGTCCTTAGAGGACCAATTGTGATATGATTTCTAAATCATTAAGATGATTACAAAACATGATACTAAAGTGCTCTCCCATCTTTTCAGATTTGAGAAACTTTTATCTTCCTGCCTAATTTGATTCTTCGTATTCGTTCTGCCATACATCGAATTTTTCCAATGCTGCAGAATTATACTTAAACTGTTAAGTATAACCATATTTACTCAACCTTAGTAAATCATGACGAATAGTCTTGACGATCTTTTGTGGTGGACCTTAGCAAGTGAACAAGACTGTGTACTGTATACCTTAGTCATTCACTTGACTCACATATACATGTGATCAAGGAATTAGTCTTAATTTTCCAAAGATGAAAATTCTCAATCATCATACTATAGAACTTGCATGATTCGATCCAAATGAAACTTGGTTGATGAGAATATTCCTTATTTGGTAAATTTGGACACTACCACAAATGATAGAATCAAATTCACATTTCCATTATTTCTAGAACCATACAAACATCAATTTTTTTTTTCATAAAATGTCATTGCAAGGAGATAATAAAATTAAGCCAAGAGAAATCCAGTGGATGTCATTTTCGATTCACCTAGTGTTCACCTTCTCGAGTCATCGCCATCTTGCCACTCTCGTGATGTTTTTGGTTCAGATAGGTAAGACTTACGAGTCGGAGATTCCCTTCGTACAATTCTCAAACCTCGTCGTCGCCATCGTAAATCTCAGGCCTCGTCATTTCCGTCGTACATCCAGGCCTCATCATTTCGTTGTTTCCCCCTCATCATTTCCGTTGTCCGTTTTTTCTTCTCCTTCTTCTTCTTTTCTTTTTCCTTGACCCAGGTAAGCAATAACAAACCTCTCTTGTCTTGATTTTGTTCTTAAGTAGATCAAGACACAGACAAAACCATATTAAATAAGCATGTTAGGGATGTATATATCGGGGAAATCATGAATAATGACTATATTTATAGAAAACTTTCCATCTTTTTAATCAATATATGCATTCAAGTATACTAATATGCTTATATTAAACTAACAGTGCTGATTCCATAGAGCGAGCATGGTAGATTCTTGATCAAATTCCTGGTAGAGCTACTGGTGCATATAGTCACAGGGGTAAAACATAAATGCAGTTAAGGGTTTAAGGAAATGCACTATATCTTTTTTGATAACGTTTTGGATACAACAGGGTGGGGACTTGAGGTCTCTGAGCTCAAGAAGCAACTGGAAATTGCTAGACAAAAGGGTATTACTGTTAGAGCCCTTGTTGTCATTAATCCAGGAAACCCAACTGGCCAGGTAAATCTATATTAGTTTTTAAACACTAGTAAATGTGTTTTCTCTATGTTATGATAATTAAATTCCAAAATTTTATTGGCATTTTAGTAAAAGCGTGATTAAGTAGGGTGACATTCATCATTCATGTACATTATGCAGGTTTATCAGGAAACATTTATGTCCCTGAAAAGCACTTTCACTGTTTTTAGAAAGTTACTCGTTCAATGGGATATGGTGACAAGGATATCCCTTGGTTTCTTTTCAGTCAATGTCCACAAGGTGGCATCAGTGAATCTTTGTTCGAACATTTATGTTCAAATTCTTGCAAGCCTTGTTATGAGTCCTCCAAAGGTTGGAGATGAATCCTATAATTCTTATTTCGCTGAAAGAGATGATCTGCAAGGTGAGCAAAGGTCAGTTAGTTAATTCAGTTGTTAATTTGTTTGCAATTCTTAATTTCTTGATAATTCTTAATTTCTTTTTCCTTGACATATTGAAACTACAAACATTGGAAGATGCACTGAACAGCTTAGAGGGTGTTACCTGTAACAAATTAGAAGGTGCAATGTATCTTTTCCCACAAGTTAAGCTGCCAATAAGGCCATAAGAGAGGCAAGAAAGCTAAAAAAGCTCTGGATGCATATTATGCAATTCGCCTTAAGGGTTTTGTAATTGGCATCAGGGTATCAAGGGATTGTGCTACACCATTGTTGTTGTTTTGTGTTGTTTTGCTGTTTTGAGACTATTTATGTTTTGTTGTTTTGTAGTTTGTTGCTGACTTGTTAAATTCCACTTGTTGTTGTTTTAAGATCAATTTTCTCGGTATGATCTGCTGGTAAAACAGAAAAAAAAAACAGTCTTTTGCTCATTTGCAACTTTGTATTTTTAGTTTTTTCTCATTTAACATTTTTTGTATTAAATTAATGATTTGCCCTTGTGCCTATGCAGGTCTTCACAGCCCTAGGAACCTCCTTCCATACCCTTCAATCTCTCAAAGTTCAAACATCTTTTTATATAGAAGGGTAAAATGGTCATTTACTCTTATTCATAAAGTTTATTTGGTCAAAGAAAGAAAGAGTCTCTAGTCTTTGTTCATTTAACACCTAATTAATGGAGAAAACTTCATTTCACTGACTTTCTTTGTTAAGTTGTTATTTCAGAATGTGAGTAAATGACTATTTTACCCTTGAGTGTTTGGAGAATTTGTAGTTGTGTATTGTGTCAGGATGAGCATAATTCATGCCCGGTTTGTCGACATGAATTATGGAAAGACGATCATGAGTATGAAAGTAGGAAGGAGAGAGAAAATGAGGCTGAAGAAGAGAGGAAAGGAGCTGCAAATGCAGTGGGAGGAGGTGAATATATGTATGTATAGGTCAAAAAAGAAAAAAGAAAAAACAACTATTATTTAGGCCATAAAGGTGATCCCTTCATATTGGCCTCTCAAGCACAACAAGTATTTTACGTGACAGACCCGCTCGATCAAAGTATTTTACTGTAATGGTGGATGACATGTTATAACATAAACTGCATATTATAGCAATGTACTTTCGTCAAGCAATGTTGGACAAACTTGTATTATTTTCATTTATTTATCATCTTTATGTTAAAGAAAGTTGTATTCTTTTCATTTTTAATGGTGTATGATCTGGTGCAATTAAAAGAATACATGACAAAAAAGGGCAATTTGACCTTTCTTTAGGACTGTTACCGACCGAAACTCCACCATTCAATACAACTATATTGTTTATTTGGTTTTTGTGTATTTCATTTTTTTTTTGGTTTTTCACAAATTGTTTCTGTTAAGGTAACTTTACAAACTAACCATTCAATTTCTTTCATTTATTTATACATCCCTTTAAATGCAAAATAAAGCAATGTACTTTAGTAAATGACATGATTGACCTTTTGTTCATTTTAATTCTGCCAATGATATCAAAGAAAAAAATGGATAATTTTACTAGTCGTCCAAAATGTCTAAAATTATCATTTTTTGGAATAATAACTTAACCAGGAAAAAATTTCAGTTTTACAACAACAAATTTTCAATTTATGAAGACTATTATTTAAACTTACAAATACAATAGTACAACCAGAATGAACATTACATAATTATAGTAACATATTTAATGAATGACCCCTACCGATAAGACATTATTGTTCTTTTATAACTATATTTACATATAGACACATATAATAGCTATAATCATAACTAAATGCTACCTACACTCACAATATTTGTTTCTTCTCAAAGCCAATTCATCATATTTTGACACACATAATAAAATGTACATGACCATAAACAACCAATACTAACTTGTTTTTTTTCTTGCGTTAACTAAGTACAACTAATACAGAACCGCCCTATGGACATACAAATATTTAGTGTGACCATATGTATCACCTTTTAGCTACTTTGTCTGTTATGTGTCTAAAAAGCCACCATGTTATAGACACACATACAACTGCCTCATGTCACAATATGTTTATCTATTGTCTGTTATAAAAAAAGTATGACAATCTTAATCGATACCTGTGGCTAATTGTGACCTATGGCCTCAATGTTCGA